AGGTCCCAAAGAGTTTTGCATGTTTTGAAGTCTTTATCAGGTGCTTTGGAGGCCATTTGGAGCTCAAGAAGAGGAGCAGGAAAGAAAACGGTGAAGAAAAGGGTTAAAAATGGTGAAAACCGCTTGGAGGAATTTCTCGGCCAAAAATCGTACCGGCTGGACTGGAACCTCGGTCAAAACCCTTACCGAACTGCCAAAATCGGTTAAAATCGAGTATCGGGTGAAAATTCCCGCGGGTGAAATTTTAGACCGAGTCGAGAAGGATTTTACGGCTAAAAACTTACCGCGGTATACAGCCCTCGACCATTTTCCTTACCGCGGGAAGCTTTTCTCGGTTAAAACTCATCCTTACCCGCGCGTTTCAAAGATCAGCAATCCGGGGAACCTTCCGGTCCGAGTCAGTTGGCGGGGTCTTCATCAAAATTGTAGATAATCAAGCAAAGATCCCAGAACAGTTGGAATCATCCAATTCGGACCAGTGAGGAGAAAGATATGGTCTCCGGAGGATGCACCAGTATTACGCGCACCCGAGAACCGAACAGCGGACTTTAAAGATTACGAGGGACGGAGCCCTTCCGGTCCGAACCAGCCTTCCCGGTCTTCATCAAAGTTTGAGATCTGTGAATGAACTTTTCGTAACGCTTAGAATCACTCAATTCTGAGTAGTCGAAAGATACGGTCTCCGGAGTTCACATCTGTCCAAAAGATTATTTTCCGGTGATTCTGATGCGGTGCAAAGATGCGAAATCCAAGAAGCCTTCCACTCCCCAAGCTCCGACGGTTTCTTCACCAAAGTTCGAGCTTATTGAGTCATCTAGACTATGGAACTGGTCTCAAAGCAATTGGAGTCGTGTGTTGAAAGTTACTGCTTCCGGAAGGCAAGTCGGTCGATACAAGCCTAAATGAGTTGCAATACGCGCTAAGTGTTTTCTCAGGCCTCGGCATCATTACCTCGACATTGCTCAAGTCAAGGCTCATATCTTGAGAATATTTTGGACAAGACCTTGTGCTGACACCTCGGCATGATGAGATCAAGGCATGCACACGTAAGAAATGAAGCTGGAAACGACTAAGTGTTGAACGTGCACCTCGGTGTAATGGCCTCGGCGTGCATGCCGGACTCTGTTCTCCCGAAGCCCTCGACTACCAAGCCCCGCGACATTTTATGGCGAGGTCTCTTGTCACAACTCCAGAATCAGGAACAAGACGGCTCAAGAACACACACGTGAAGACGGATCAAAGACTAGGGTCCATGCATATTCTTGACGTGTTCTTCACGAGATCTCCATTTCGATCTTTGCTCACGTGCACTCCTCGACATCAAGGCCTCGGCTTCACTCTCCGACACACCGTGGCACTCACCCATCAACCCGAGAAGGCGGCTCCGTACCCAATTTGTTCCGGGCTGACCCGCGACACTTTCTCTTTGCTATAAATACATTTTAGGACCAAAAACCTAATCATCTTATCTCTTATCATCTTTTAGCCTTAAGAACTTGCCTCTTTTGTGAAACTTGATTAATCTAATCCGATATCTCGTTTTTGCATCTGAATCTTGTTCTTTCTTTATTTTCTTTTATCATCCAGTATTAAACTCCTAATCATGACTAGCTACACGTCTTGCAAAGGACTTAGTGAGCTCGTTATGATCAGTGAGTAGTCGTTTAAGCGGCTTTAGATAGGTAGATTAGGGTGCTTTCAAGATAGATTAGTGGGTTTAGGTGTCTAGTCTTGCATGTTTCATTCTTTAACCGACGAGATCTCTAGGCTGGATCCAAGCACATCACTTGAGGTTCCGATCTGAGACATATCTCGCATCAAAAGTGTTTGTAGAAATGTCTGAACCACTCGGTTAAAGGTTTAAGAGTCTTTCATCGCGAGAGTGATAGTTTGTTCTCTTAAATGACATATTGAACTGAATCTTATTGCTGACTGATTCATGTTTCTTAAAAGGGATTTTGGTATGAAAGAGGATCAGTTTAGATATTTAATACTTTCATGAGAAGATTAACATGCTTTGAGTTCAAGTTAAATGAAACCGCTTGATAAATCTGATTCATCAACCCATTAGTTTAGCTTGAAAGCACCTGAGTCAAGTATCCTGTCTAAAGCTTCTGCCTTTATTATATATTATCATCATCCGAATCATTTGCTTGTCATTTGCATCTTCACTTAGTTTAAATCTTGTCTTTGCTTCACTTTTATGCTTATTTACTTGTTGAATAGTTTAGTTAAAATCTTTACCCTTTCATCTTGACTTAAGATCACAAGTAACATAGATTAGTGTCTCCATCACAAGTTTGGTTTGATAACCCCTTGTACTACAAGGACAGAGGTATTGGTAACCTCTTTAAAGAGTGAAAACTCTTAGTTATCATGAAAAAAACGTGATAACATATATTTGTACCGATTTTGATTTGATTTTTAAGTCTAACTGACTTTTTACTTGAATGAATAAAGTAATAAGGCATCTACTTATCAGATCTCGTGAAGTTGACTTTTAACACGAGACAACCGGATATCCCCTCATGCTTCATGTTAAGGTAATTAAATCTCGTTGTCTTCTCTTACACCATTAGGCATTCTTCATTTATCGGTGTATATAGCCTTTCTTTAGTAAATTTATCAGCATTTCATATTATGGTTTTTTCTATGAAATGTAATCTAGCATCTATCAAAATAAATGAGTGTATATATCAACTGATCTATCATATTAATATTACATATATAATTTATGTTTTTAATTCTTTCTATCAACCTCCTTCTTAATGCCATAAGTAAGAAGATATCATCTTACGAGATCTATAGGAGCGATTTGGCCGAGTTAGCCTATTATTGCAGATTCTAAACGGTCTGGATTGGTTTCCGATTTGTTTCACCGGTTCTTAGAATCACCAAATTCTAGATCTTATTATGTTATTTTTTCTTAAATGAGTTCATTAAACTGCTCGGTATGCAGCCCTTATTTTATGCAAAAATTTTCTAAAACAAAACGGCCCATTTTTTTGGAATAATTATGCAAAACAGGCTATTTTTTCTTTCTAACTTGCAGTCCATGCAAAAAAATATGCAACTCAAGGTCGGCTCTGTATGAACGAGATTTGACATAACTAGAGCCATCCTGAAATGCATATTTTTAGTCAGTGTAACTTTCTTGAGCGAAAACAGAAAATCCAGAAACTTAGTTAGAAGAAATTTCAAGTAATGATTTGAGTGGTAAGAAATCAATATAAAGATAAATACATGTGTATCTATATAGTTGTTTAGACGTGGATACAATTATATGAGTACGTATAGAGATCTATATAGATATGATATTTAGAGATCTACATAGATATCATATATGTGGATCTATCCATATAGATACACATATATATTTTTATATATATTTATATAATTACGTAAATATAGATACGTATGTGTATTTATATAATTATGTGTATTTATATATAATTACATGTATATAGGTTTACGTAGATGTATATATAGATACATTACGTAACTATATGGATACATATGCATATTTATGTGCATATGATATATATGTACGTAACTATATGGATATATATGTTTTTTTTTTTGAAAATTTTGTCAAAGACTTTTAAAAATTACTGTTATTTGATTAAGCAATATGATGATTTTTTGTTTTTATTTTTAAATATGAGAATAATGGTTGAGATGATGAAAGAAGTGGAGAAGAAGAAAAGGTTTGAAAAAAAAAGAGAAAAAGTAAAAAATAATGAAATTAGATCAGGTTAAATAAAAGATAAAAATATCAAGAATGTACATATCAAAACATTTTAATATCTATAATAGATATTAATATCTCCAAAATTGTCTATATTGATAATTATTTCTTAATAACATTGTGAAATGATTAAAAGTTTATTCTGTTGAAATTAAGAGTGCATACTTTTTTTCTTTTCCAGTTTCAGACATTATTAATGTAAAAGAGGGTGTGGAGGTTGAATAGAGTAATACTTATCCACCATTTTACGTCAGTGATATTTCCAGCAATTATGAAAAATATTACCCTAGTCATTCCCCATACTGTATTTATATCCAGTCATATTTATCCCTGATATATATATTCATCAATAAACAGCAAGTTCTTTAACTGAAGTGCTTTTTTTTCTTGATTGAAACTTTTTTTTTCTCGAAACAGGGAAGGATCCTTTTGAAGATAGGCAAGGGTTTTACAAATCATCCAAGATCTTGTTAGCTTCGAGACTAACTTGAACCAGCTCATGGAAAAGATTAAGCATTTATGGAAGAAATATATAAAGAAAGTGGAGAAGCACCTTTTTCGAGCGATAACAATGATGATGAGGATCATTTCAGATTGTCCAAGGCTATTGGGGGAGCTGAGGAGATGGCTTTTAAATCTCCTGATGATGATAAGTTAAAGAAGAGTGAGAGCATCAAAAATGGTGAAGACGATGGCTAAGGATGGTTTCAAGAGTCCTATCTTGCTCAATCGATTGAGATTCTTGGTTTTGATTCTGTTGAGCAAAGACAAAGATGGAACGTGGTGCCAAACGAAACTAAGAAGAAAATCCAAGATAAGTTGAAGTTGTTGCATGTCAAAGAAGTCGAATTGAAGAAGAGTGAAGAGATGTTGGAGCGCAATAAGCGTGCATGTGTCTATGAAAAGAATGCCCTGTTGAATGAGGTGATCTCTGTGATCACTGAACCAAACTAAGATATATAGATTTAGAGATGCAATGCCTCTTTTCGTTTCGAAACTTAATTAGGATTTTAAGTTTCTGGTGGCTTAGCTTATTATGTTTCTATGTATTTTGGCTTGTTGCTTATTGACTTATCGAGGAGTTGTCTAAAAATACACCACGAAGCTAAAATATGTTGGCATTGACAAGATATGTTGAATTAAATGGATTTCTTGACAAGTTGTATTGAATTGAGAAATACACATCGTCTCACAGTAAAAAAAAAAAAAAAAACAATTGCAGATTTATTGAAAAGTTTTTTTGTTAGTGAGAATTAATTAAGAAGAAGAAAACAAGTTTTAGTTGTTCCAATACCACGTGCTTACCTTTTGATCAATCATCAAAGGTTGTATAGAAAATAAAAACATTAATGAGATAATGTTGAAGTTATCAACATTGGAAAATGGAGAACAATTTAGGATTGAACAACTTCCATTCACACACTTTTTCTTAACGCGCAAGGATCAAAGACTGTGTTATCTCATTGACAGTGCTCAAACCCTTAGACAAGGATTCTTCTTCTCTCGAGTGCAATACAAAAGTGGGTTTTTTTGGTGATGGAAGATCTGATGTTGTGGTGAGAATAGACAGCAACTCAAGTGTGTTGGGTCTGTCACTAGGTTGGTGTTGAACACAAAGAAGACCAATCTGAACACACCTTCCAACCTCAGATGGATGACTTGAATCAGAAACATCTTGGTCTAGCAAATCAGTTCCTCCATTTTCACACCAAGATTCCCATGCCTGTTGTTAAGTTTCCATATCTCAAAAAATGTAAGAGCATGAAATTTTGCAAGTATATGAGAACTTAAAAGTCTGTCTTACATATGCAAGAAGAGTTTTTCCTTCTTCACCATAGCTGAATCTTGATATCTTCTCTCCGCTGATGATTTCTAACAGCAGAACTCCAAAGCTGTAGATGTCAGATTTCTCAGAGAACATCCCAGTCCATGCATACTCGGGAGACATATATCCTCTGCACATATATCAAAAAATATTCAACCTAATTTAACATATGAATATGGCTATGACTCTTGTTTTTCAAAACAGATTCTTAAAACAAGAAAACAGATTCTTACAGAGTTCCTGCTACCCTACGAGTGTTGTCTAGATATCCAGTTCCCTGATACGTCCTAGCCAATCCAAAATCTGATATTTTTGGGTTCATCTTCTCATCTAGGAGAATATTGCTAACCTTAAGATCTCGGTGAATGACCCTGAGGCGTGAGTCACGGTGGAGATAGAGAAGTCCACGTGCAATACCTTGGATGATAATGAATCTCTTAGGCCAGTCAATCTCAAGCCTTTTTCTTGAATCTAAGCAATATTACAGTGTAAAAACTATCAGATAAACTGTTCTACACAGAGAGAGAAAAAACTGATAATAGGAAACGATTTGAGGCAAGAAGGGACTCACCAAAGAGAAAAGTATCAAGGCTTTTGTTCAACATGAACTCATAAATCAGTAGCCTCTCTTCTCCTTCAATGCAACATCCCAAAATTCGAACTAAGTTTTTGTGTTGTAGTTTTGAGATGAGTACTACTTCATTCATGAACTCCTCTTTGCCTTGCCCTGAGCTGCTAGAAAGCCGTTTTACTGCAATTTCTTTCCCATCTTGCAGCTTTCCCTGAACACAATGGTGAAGGTCATCTCAAGAGCATAAACAGAGAACACAAAAGAGTAAAGAAAATAAAGTTCTCTTACCTTGTAAACTGAACCAAATCCACCTTGTCCGAGTTTATTTGACAGACTAAAACTATTGGTGGCAGTTTCAATGGTATTCATCTCAAAGAAATTTAAACCTGAGACATCTTGTGGTTTTAGACCATTCCTCCACTCTTCTTGTGAGGCTTTCTTTGCTACAATAGCTGAATTTAGAGTTGAATAGATAGTAAAGTCATCAGTGTGTTACCGTTAGCAAGCATATGAATAGATAAGTAACAAGAGATCGATAGAGAGATAGTTACCATTATGTTTCACTCTGTATCTCCATAAACCAAATGCAGCAGAACCCAATATCACAAAAAGGGAAATGCTCACAACACTAGCAACAACTTTCGTCCTGTGATTATTTCCATCTAAGATGTATAAGACAAAAAAAAAAAAAATTAAACAATAAGCAATGATACTAACGTAAAGAACAATATCAAAGGAGAACTATTTCGTGTTACCTAGTTCAGAACGTGCAAGACGAATGGAAACAGTCTCTCCTCCAGGAGAAAACTGCATTACGTCCATTAGCTCTTGTTTCCATATTAAGCACCCAATTCCACGAATAAAAGCAAAGGCCAAGCAAGAACAATTGAGGAGGCAACTTTGATAGCAGCCTTCAGAATCCACAGAACTTACAAACTCGTAAAAGTCTGGAGGCTTTATGTTGGCAATAGGATGAAAGACATTTGCAACTTTGCTTGTAGAGTTTCCTTGACAATCTAGTTCTGTGCGCCTCACACAACCACCGGTCCAGTTTCCTCTTTTCCACTCCTCAATGTATTTAGGTACAAATCCTTTGAAGCAACTACACTTCGGAGGATCTGACACAACACACATCCCAAAAGCTCCACATACACCGTAAACATCACATGGATTTGTTGGAGCCTCAAGGCTTACTTCCCAGCCGGTCTCACTAAGATGAAAAATCTTCAGCAAACCCTCTGATGTTAAAACTAAACGTGAAAGTTTGGAGTCTCTTTCTAGATAAGAGAAAGACCATGACCCGTTTGCATCTTGCTGAAAGCTAAACGGACTTGCTAAAGTTTCATCAAATAGCGGTATCCCTGTGAACCTTGTTTTAGCCCATGGACCAGATCTATAATAAGGCGTTGAGCCTCTCATAGTAAACCCCTGTGATGGCACTTGCGATGAAAACAGAGTTACATAGTCACCAGGTGATGGATCAGTATCACTTTTCCAAGAAGTCAACACCCGTTTCTCACCGGTGGCGAGATCATGCATGATGGGCGAGAAAGGAAGCAGAGTATCACCAAGATGTGCAAAGCTTTCCCATATAGTTCTTCTTGAAACATTGTCTATGACAACAAGATCTCCGGTGTCTAAAAGCTCTGCACGAGACCCGTTAGATGCAAAAACTTCTTTGGTGGACCACACAACACCATGTCTTCCATCTAATAAGAGAAGACTTCCATTGCTACTGATTGTTAGATTTGCCGTGGAGTCTGTAACAGGTTTTTCTCTATTGGCCACCCACAAAACCACCCGAGGAATGATACCTTTGAACCAAATTCCAACATACTGATGATTCTGGGAGTTATTTGGACTGAAGAAACCCAGTTCATAAACTCCATTAGGAGAGCTAAGAGTTTGTCCTATTGACAAAGGACTCTCTGTGGTTATCCCTGCAAAGCTACAACTTGAAAAGATGGTAAAAAAGAGCAAAGAATTAAAGAACACGACCCTCTTCTTCCCCATGTGCTTTTGTCTCTCCAATAACTATCTTCTTATAAACCCAAAAAAAAACTACCTTCTTCAGATTAGTCTAAGAAGCGAACAAATATCAGGAGCAAGAAAGCCAAGAAAGAAAGAAAAACAAAAAAAAAAAGCGAGGGACTTGTGACTTGTGAGAACTACATTCAACCATCTATGGACAATGACCACAACGCAAGTTACGTTCCAAGATTATGCATTACTTTATACAAAATCAACTTAAACCTTTATTTAATAATACAAAATACATACGAATTTTCCACGAAGAAGTCCAACTTTTTACCCAATCAATAACGCAACATTGTCATTTTCATAGCTTAACATAACGAATCCAACATTTGACCCCGTCAAGTGTTTTGACTAATTGATCTCAAATTGAAATATCGTGTTTTTTCATGTTCACATTGAAACATAAGCATCAACATTCTCCATCAACTGAAAAGATGACTATATGAATAAGTCAGATGATGAGAATATTAATCAATCAGATCTTTCTTAGTGGTTTCTAAAATCTTCGTTTCACCCTTAGAGCACAAATTTTTTTTTTAAACGAAGAACTTTTTATTGAGGATGATTGGTTACAGCAAAATATGACATAGGGGCCATATAGATTTTAAAGAGATTACACAAAGTGCAATTCTTAGAATATAAGAGACTGTTATAGATAGTAATCGACCTTGGTGTAACACACTTTAAATGTACGGTAAAGAAATTTCTTGAATTAAGAGACTTGGAGCTATGAGAAAAATATAATGATCTACATATACCCTTTTCTATTCAAAGTAGTCTTCTTCTCTCCTGGTTAGAGAGAGGGCATCTTTGAAACTTTAATCATATATATTATAAGCCGAGTAAATTTTTGATTTCTAGCTCTCTCATTGATTTTGGAGGTGGTTAATTATCATCTTGTCCCTCAATAAAAAGTCTATATTAGCCTTTAACTTGGTTCAAATTAAATTTAGTTATTAGTTATTTACTCGGTTCAAATTAAATTTAGTTAAAATTTAATAATCTTAGTAAAATATAATCTTATCTTTAAATTAAATATATTTTTAAATAAAAAAATCGACTATAGTTTTTTAAAATCTACCATTTTTTAATTAAAAAATTATTAGTTTCTTAATATATATATTTTTTTTAAAAGGACCATTATTTTCTATTATTTTCTTAATATATTTTTTAAAAACGAAAATTATTTTCTATACACCTCAATCATTGTTTTAATTAAAAACAAACTATTACTTTATTAATCTACTTTTTTTATAAAAAAACAACCATAGTTTTCTATACATCTCAATTATTGTTTTAATTAAAAAAAAACACCCAAAAATCGAAAATTTAAGAGTACCAAGAAAAAACCCCTAAACTTTTCCATTCACTCACCTCATCTTTAATTAACAATTAATCTCCAATATATTATTTAAATAGATATATACATGCTACAAGTTATTATCCTTACAAATATCGTTTATGCTTTTTATTTTATAAGTATAAATACGTATAGAACAAAACATGGTCAAAATAAATATTTCACTGATCAATAATATTCTTCTGTTATTCTGTTCTCATTACGTCTTTAGTTTTCTAAACCAAAAACCCTAACCTGATTTGGCTAAACACGTTTCTGCTTCCTTTCTCATTGTTTTTGCAACTGAATATGATGCCAAAAGGTATAGTTTTCTTTTAACTTTATATTTGATTCTGTTCCGTGCTATTAATCATAATTGAAATCCATTAATATGTGTTCTTTCATAATTATAGGGTTCTGATTATTTGCCGGTGCATCTTTCTTTACCACAAAATTCCATCTATGATGATGTCAACGTGTCTGACTCGAAGAACAAAAGCAAATTGATATCTTGGATGGAATGCAATCAACTTAATCCAGCGGCAATGACATTGTTATATTCCAACATCCCTTCTAGATGGGTATGGGATCCGAATCAATGTGAATGGATACCCGGCTCACAGTTTCTCGGAGTTCGGGTGTACTAGAGGATTGTCCACTTAATTCTGGTGAACTCATTATCTTCGCCTTCTATTGCTTGTGAGGAGAGGTCTGTGCTACTTTTAGGATATTAAAACTGTTGATGGTGTTCTTCATTCTATGTTCAAGAGGGTATGCTACACTATGAAGATCTTGACTTCTGGGATCACCCGATGTGTTGTGGAGTCTTGTCCGAGAGAGGTTGATCTTTTGAGATTTCTATTGGATTATGCTAGAGATCCATGCACCTTTGCGGATATTAGGACAATATTTAGGAATGAAGCAAAGTGGAATCTACATATAGCATGTATTTTTAATGTTTTTTTATTGTACGTTTGGATAAAGAGATTAAGAATAATTGTTGATATCATATATGGCCAAATTGTTGAAGAGAGAGAGCATATGACTTTTGTAGTCATCTGTTAAATTAGCAGATTTGAAGAGTGATACATTTCTACCCCATATTTGATGAATTCTCTAAGAATCGTCATGTTTCTTGATACATTATTAGAATAGTCAAACATATATCTATCTAGAAATAACTAGCTTTAAAAAAATAAACTTTTAGGCGAGTCGTTCTATAAAATCACTTTAATCTAAATTAAAATAGTTGAAAGTTCTATCACTATAACATAATTAGGAGATTCTAGAAAGAAAGAGGGAAGGAGGGAACGAGATATATATATATATATATAATTAGAGAGAGAAACAAAAAAGATTAATGATAACCGATAATAGAATACTTAGATACAAGGTTATATGGCGAGGAAGAAGACAATGATGTGATAAAGAAACATCTGAAGAATAAGAAATACAAAGAAAATGTAGAAATGAGAGGGAACAAGAAGAGGAAGAAGAAATCCGGGAGAAGAAAATGAAGACAAAACTGAATAAAAAAGAAGCCAAGGAAGAAGAAGATAATAAAGAAGAAGAATAACTTTAAGATGACAAAGTAAACAACGAAGGAAAAAATAAAAAGACAATAAAGAAGGAAAATGATGAAGAATAGTGAGAAGAAAAAACGGGAAGATTGAGAATAGAAAAATATAATTCAGAGAAGACAAAGATGATGGAAAAGAAGAATGATAAGATAACGAAAAGAAAAAAAATAAGATAAAAACAGTCAGAAAAGACAAGAAAGATATGACAAAGACAAAAAAAATAAAAAACCGTAAGAAGAATAAAAATGCAGATTAGACCAAGACATCAAAGAAGAAGAAGGAGAGAAAGGTAAGGATTTGGAGATGATGAATAAAAACTGAAAAAAATATGTAGAAGGAATTGAAGATGACAAATGTGATGAATAAGAAGAATAAAATGAATATGATGAAAAAGAGAAAAGAAAAATATGAGGAAGACGATAAACAAAACTAAAAAAATAAGAAGAAAAGGACGAAGCGGAAGAAGTTGAGGTTGAAGATAAGATGAAGAAGAAACAAAAGAATAATAAGCCAGAGAAGACGAAAACGATCAAAAGAAAAATTGGAAGACGAAGACAATTATATATTTTAAAAAAAAAAGAATAATTGTTAAAAATGACAAAAAATGATAAATAATAAGTCAAAGTCAAAGACGATTAAGTAGAAGAAAAAACATAAACCAAATATATTAAAGAAGAAGAAGGAAAACGCGTGAAATAACCGATTAGAATGACACACATTTACGAAAAAATAAAAAGAGTTCTGTTGAGGAAGAGATAAAAAAATAGTTTGAAAAAAAATTCTGTAATTATAAATATATGAGTGAATGGTAATGGTCGAATGTCTAACATTGTTCTTATATTTTGGGATTTTTTTTTTAACAAAGTTAATAATTTAATGATGTAATTATTTTATGAAACTCTTGTGTTTTATGCGGGCTAATTACCTAGTTCCATCAAAACCTACAAAGGTATATTTAACGTAGTGTTTGTGATTTAAAAATTTATCTCGATTTAATGACTTCTTAAGACAATTATTAACCAAAATTTGGACTAGTGAATGATGGGATGAGCCATGACTTCTTAAGACAATTATTAACCAAAATTTGGACTAGTGAATGATGGGATGAGCCAGGTCCATGCAGTAGTGCAACACATGGGCAACTCAGAAAGCCCAGATAGCAAAGTATTTTTAATGGGCTTGCTCCCTTCAAAAATTGAGTTAATAACGAGTGAGCCGATGGCCCACATATCAGATATTACACTGATAAGAACAGATACTACAGTAAATCTTAGCCACGTTCTATTTTATAGCAAAGTGTCATGACCTACGTTTTACTATGTTCCCGATGTGGGATTAAAAACAACGTCTTACGTTATTTTAATTCTTAGAAAAGTAAAAAAATACAAATTCCACTACAATCCTCCCGTAATATTTGGAAGCAAACACTCTGAAATTTGATTTTGGTTTAAATCACCTAAACACTTAATCTAGAATCAGCATTCAGTTAACATCCCAAAGATTGGAAAAGTTTAACCAAACTCAATACACTTTAAGTTTGTTTCTTCTTAGAAAGCTGAGAATCAGAAAACTAGTTTCAAGAAAGAGAGAGAGAGAAAGAGAGAGACAGAGAGACAGAGAGAGACAGAGAGAGAGAGAAACACATTGTTTCTTAACGTCCAAGGATCACAGATTGTGTCATCCCATTGACGGTGATCAACAATTCCTTAGAATTGGATTCGCCATATCTCGTGTGCACTGCAAAAGTGGGTTGTTTTGGTGATGGAAGATCTGATGTCGTGGTGCGCATGGACAGCAACTCAAGTGTGTTGGGTCTGTCTACAGGTTGGTGTTGAATACACAGCAGACCAATCTGAACACATTTTCCAACCTCAGATGGATTACATGTATCAGCAATATCTCGGTCCGAAAAATCAACACCTCTAGTTTCACACCAAGATTCCCATGCCTGTTGAAATTTCAGAATATCAGCCGAATATAAGAGCAAGAAAAGGTTTTGAAACCTGAAGAAGTCTTACTTACATATTCAAGAAGGCTTTTGCACTCTTCATCATAACTAAACCTTGAGATCTTCTCTCTACTGATGGTTTCTAACATCAGAACTCCAAAACTATAAATATCAGACTTCTCAGAGAACAGCCCAGTCCACGCATACTCAGGAGACATGTATCCTCTGTGCAAACAATCGAATAGTTTTACACAAGCTAAGATATGACTAATGAATCTTGCTAAGCCTATTTTTGAAGAAATGTACTTACAGGGTTCCAAAAACCCTGTGAGTGTTGTCCTGATATTGTGTTCCTTGAAACATTCGAGCCAATCCAAAATCTGATATCTTCGGGTTCATCTCCTCGTCCAAAAGAATATTGCTAACCTTTAGGTCTCGGTGAATGACCCTAAGGCGTGAGTCATGGTGAAGATAGAGAAGTCCACGCGCAACACCTTGAATGATATCAAATCTCTTTGGCCAATTAATCTCGAGCTCTCTTCTTGAATCTAACCAATAATATAGTCCAAAAATTTATCAGATTAAGAGCTCTACGTAGAAGAAGCTGTAATAGAAAAGGAAAGAGGAAAGAAAGGACCAACCAAAGAGAAAAGTATTAAGGCTTTTGTTCACCATGAACTCATAAATAAGTAGCCTCTCTTCTCCTTCAATGCAACATCCCAAGATCCGAACTAAGTTTCTGTGTTGTAGTTTTGAGATGAGTACTATTTCATTCATGAACTCTTCTTTGCCCTGCCCTGAGCTGCTAGAAAGCCGTTTTACAGCAATTTCTTTCCCATCTTGCAGCTTTCCCTGAAACAGATTGCAGCATGTCATCTAGAGAGAATAAGCAGAGGATAGAAAAGAGGACAAAAATCCCCTTACCTTGTAAACTGAACCAAATCCACCTTGTCCGAGTTTATTTGACAGACTGAAATTATTGGTGGCAGTTTCAATGGTATTCATGTCAAAGAAATTTAAACCTGTGACATCTTGTGGTCTCAGATCATTCCTCCAAGCATCCTTTGATATAATAGCTGAAACTAAAACAGACAGATATTAAGGTCATCATTGTGTTACTCGTTAGCAATCAAATGAAATAGATAAACAACAAAAAATCTATAAAGAAATAGTAGTGTCAAGTGTGTACTGTTGCGTTTCACTCTGTATCTCCAGAAACCAAATGCAGCAGAACCAATAACACAAAAAGAGAAAGGCTCACAATACTTGCAACAATAGTCTTCTTGCGCTTATTACCAACTGAAATATATAAGACAAAAACAAACTTAACAATAACACATGCTGCTATTAAGGGAGTTTTAGATAAAGATGTATATGACGAAGTAGCTCTTTCGTGTTATCTTTTAAGCCTTACCTAGTTCAGAACGTGCAAGACGAATGGAAAGAAGTTCTCCTCCCGCAGAAAATTGCACAGAGTCCATTAGCTCCCCGTTCCACATCAAGCAGCCTATTCCATGAATAAAAGCAAAGGCCAAGCAGGAACAATTGTGGAGGCAACTTTGGTAGCATTCTTCAGTACTCTCATAACTTGAAAATTCGTAAAAGTCTGGAGGCTTTATGTTGGCAACTTGCTGGAAGACGTTTCCATCTTTCCCAGTAGAGTTCTCCTGACAATCTAGTTCGGTACGCCTCACACAACCACCAGTCCAGTTTCCTTTTTTCCACTCCTCAATGTATTTGGTGTAAACCCTTTGAAGCATTTACATTTTGGAGGAACAGACATCACACACAACCCAAAAGGTCCACATACACCATAGTAATCACATGAGTTCGTTGGAGCCTCAAAGTTCAATTCCCAGCCGGTCCCATTATGCCGAACAATCTTTAGTGACCCATCAGATGTTATCACTATACGTGGAAGTTTGAAGTTTCTATGTAAATAAGTGAAGGATCCTGACCCGTTTGCATCTTGCTGAACACTGAATGGACTTGTATATGTTTCATCCATTTGTGGTATCCCTGTGAACCTTGTTTTAGCCCATGGACCGCTTCTCCAATAAGGCGTTGAGCCTCTCATAGTAAACGCCTGTGATGGCACTCAGTGGCAGTGTAATCTCAACCACAAAGTCAACTGGTGATGGATCAGTATTAGTTTTCCAAGAAGTCAACACACGGTTCTCACCGGTGGCTAGATTATACATCAGGGTTGAGAATAAGAGCAGAGTATCACCAAGATGCTCAAAGCTTTCCCATAGTAATCTCCCTGAAACATTGTCTATGACAATAAGATTCCCGGTGTCTGAAAGCTCTGCTCGAGACCCGTTAGATGCGAAAGTCTCTCCACTGGACCAGACAACGCCATGTTTGCCATTCAATAAGAGAAGACTTCCATTGCTGCTGATACTTAGATTTGTCTGTAACACGATTTTCTCTATTGGCCACCCACACAACCACCTGGGGAATGATACCTTTGAACCAGATTCCAACATACTGATTTTGGGAGTTATTAGGACTGAAGAAAGCCAGTTCATAAATCTCATTAGAGGATCTGAGAGTTTGTCCTATTGATAAAGGACTTTCTGGCGTTATAGCTGCATAACTAAAACTTAAGAACGTGGTAAGAAAGAGCAAACAAGCAAACCTCCTCATCCCCATGTTTGTTCATGTGTCTCCAATAACAATCTCCTTTAGATTAGTTTAAGAAGCAAACATGTTAATTAGAGCAAGTAACCCAAGAAAATGAATTCTAGGAACTTGTGAGACTATTCTTAAACCTTATTAAATAATACACAAAGTGATTGCCACGAAGAAGTCTAACCTTTTACCCAATCAACCACGCAACGTTTGACTTTAACCCCATATACCAACATTGTCATTTTCATTCCCTTTTTAGCTCGTTAAGTCCATAAGAACCAGTGAAAGATTTTCTTTTTATACTCTGCATCCACCGAAAGATGAGAACTGTCACAGTCTTCACTGAAGAATCCAATATCTTATATGAATGAATCAGATGATGAGAATATTAATCAATCAAATCTCACTTAGTTCGCTGTTGTTTCACCATTATATGTGCAGCAATTATCTATTTTATATGACTTGCAAGCTAGTCTCCTGGTAAAAAGAACGTAGCTTTGAAGCATTCCATTTCGTTGAGGCATTTCACCGAACACTTACAGAGCGTAATCCAAACGAAGACAAGCTGTGCCTATATACCACCGGAGCTAAAGTCTATCAGTACATGAGAAACTATGGTTGATTATTTCCAACTCATACAGCATCTAGTTTAGTAAAAATCGCCGACGGTGTATCACTAGCGGGAACTATGTAAAACGCTAACTATTTATAGTGTCTCTAAGGGGGAAAAAAAACGAAGTGCACTGAACCAAAATTTCATCAAACCAAATCCGAATCATAGCCTAATTTCGGTTTAATCAAACCGAATTAATCAAATTGCTGAAACTCATTAAAAATAATATTTTTAACTAAATATGCATATGGGGAAACAAATGTTTTTGTCAACAAAAAACATTTATTTATACTCCTAAATATTGTAGCAGCAATCATTGTTTTTTTATATCTTTTTCCCGAACCGAACCAAAGTTATCAAACCGAACCTACTTTTTTATTAGTCGAATGAAAACCGAACCGATTTACGGAATTTGAAGTAATTAGAGTGTGTAATTAGAATGTTGCACTAACATTTGAATGGACTATGAAGCAATTGAGAACTTTCTTTGCTAACCGTATCAAAATGCCAATTTGGTTCTTTATGCACAGAAGCACATATCCATTACAATTTCCAATCTATAAAGCATACAATATTTTATAACCAATAGGCTTCTAGGTAAAGATTTTTTTTTATTTCTTGTGTGGCAGATAAGGAGAAACAGAGAAACAACATCCCTTATCCAACTTATGTTGCCACGTGGACAAATATAGTTGGTGAAGCAGATACTAATCTAATCTGAGCAAAACCAGTTGTGCTATTTCAAAGCCACAAGTAGTTCTAATGGACCTTGTTCGTTGTTCTCTAACATTTCCCCTGCAAAACCATTACTGAACCATCATCTTCATCATCTCTTGGTGACACAGAAGAGAAAGAGTTAAGGAACAGAGCAAAATAATGGCAGCACAAGCACTTGTGTCTTCTTCACTTACCTCCTCTGTTCAGACCGCTAGACAGATCTTCGGCACAAAACCAGCTGTGTCCACTTCACAGAGGAAGAGTTCCTTTGTCGTTAAGGCTACTTCAACTCCACCTGTCAAGGTACATGACAGTCTCTAGTCTTTTTCACAAATCTCTCTTTTTCTATGCACTGAATAATCTGAATCTTCTTTTTCTGTGAATTTTGTTTCAGCAAGGAGCAAACAGACCATTGTGGTTTGCATCCTCTCAGAGTCTCACTTACTTGGATGGCAGGTAATTCCAAAGACTTCGTTTCTTTTAACCATTATGATCTTAAAAATGTGTAGACTTTATAGACAATGGTTCATAACTAGGGAGATCTTGTGATTCTTGCAGCTTACCTGGAGACTATGGATTTGACCCGCTTGGTCTTTCAGACCCAGAAGGTACTGGAGGGTTCATCGAGCCGAGATGGCTAGCATACGGAGAGATCATCAACGGACGTTTCGCCATGTTGGGTGCAGCTGGAGCTATTGCTCCTGAGATTCTAGGCAAAGCCGGTCTGATTCCAGCAGAGACTGCTCTTCCCTGGTTCCAAACCGGTGTGATTCCACCTGCAGGGACATACAGTTACTGGGCAGACAACTACACACTCTTTGTTCTCGAGATGGCTCTGATGGGATTCGCTGAGCACCGGAGGTTGCAAGACTGGTACAACCCTGGATCTATGGGCAAACAGTACTTCTTGGGTTTAGAGAAAGGCTTTTCCGGTTCAGGTGAACCGGCTTACCCTGGTGGACCTTTCTTTAACCCTCTTGGGTTTGGTAAAAACGAGAAGTCCATGAAGGAGTTGAAACTCAAGGAGATCAAGAACGGTAGATTGGCCATGTTGGCCATCTTAGGCTACTTTGTGCAGGGGCTAGTAACCGGTGTTGGACCGTACCAGAACCTTCTTGATCATTTGGCGGATCCAGTCAACAACAATGTCTTGACCAGCCTCAAGTTCCACTGAGATGATGATGATCATATCATCTCATGTGTTTTTATGTTGGTCTCCATTCTCTTGTATCCTACTTTCTCTTTGGTACCATCAGCTTCTTCGTATTTGTAACACCCTGTGTAAAACATATTCGTCTTTTGTAAGAAATGACAATCTCAATGGCCATAAGAACAACTTCTAGGATTAAACTTGGTTCGTATTTAACTGTGATGCTCAAAAATATTCATGATAAATATGAGATATCTTGTGTTTTCATCTATGAGGTGAAAAGTTGAATTAGAGTTTGTGTGTTCTACATTGAGAAATTAGGGTTTCAGAATCTGAGTCTCCGATCAAACTGTGACAAATATAAAACGAGAAGAATTTTTTGTATAAGATCTGTTTCCATATAACATATTAACAAATCACTAATAATAATCAATTTAAAAATGAGCAAATCATTTTTTAAACGAAAAATCCCTCAGGCTTATAGTAATCTCATGCTGAAGCTGTGTTGGTATTTGTTCAGGTCTAGAAGGAAGCTCCACAACAGATGAAGAAGAAGCTTTGTTCTCAAAGTCTTCTTCTCTAACCCTAGAATGATGGTATGCGGAAGAAGAAGCTTCGTGTTGAGGCTCAGGTTCCCACGAGTCGAAATCAGAGTATCTCGGAGAAGACAGAGAATTCACGAAGCTTTCGTCGGCGCTTCTGCTTCGTTTATGGAAGTTGCGGAGGAGATGAATCGGAGAAGAACCGCGTGTCGGTGTAGTTGGACGGCTAGAGAAAGGCGTCGTTGATTCTGAGTTTCTTCCATGTTTGATCTGTTTCTTAGCTTTGTGATGCCAACTCTTTAACGCCGTTGCTACTTTCTTGTTGAACACTGTAGGTTTCATCTTTGAACCCATCTAAAACACACCAAAAATCAAAATCTCAAAAATTTGAATTTGAAAAAGTTCCAATCTTTCTTTATATTGTGTGTGTGTATGTTACCTGAGTAACTAGAGCGTAGAGAGGAAGAGTCACGTAGCTGCAAAGAATCTGTACGATGACTCTGCAAGATCGACAAAGAAAGAAGAAGAAAAGGTTGTATCTTTGTTAGCTTTTTAAAGGATGATTTGCTCTGTTTCTATGATTGGTTAAGCTTTACTTACCCTAGTGAGATTCTGATGATCACAGCTGCTCTGTTTTTGTGGAAACAGTTATCGATCTTGAACTCATACTGCAGAGAAATAGCAAACTTGATCTCAATGATTGATTGATTTTTAGATTAGGTTTTAATTCAAATGTAGCATTGTTTGCTTAATTACCGTAGTCCAGGCAAAGAAAGCGAGTTGAAACGCGTTCTGCAAATCAAAGAAAAGGTTTGTTTTTTTCAGTCGTTTTTTGTTGTAAACAGAGGAAGGAAAGCAAAAGAATGTGAAAGTGTTACCGAGAAGAGGACCAAGTGAATGAGGAAGAGAATGAAACGTGGTCGACCAAACCAGAATAGATGATCACCGGGCTTAACAAGCGGCATGCCTTTCACTACATCGCCTTTCTCTTGGATTAGTAGTCCTAGTTTTGTTATTATCACTTGAAGCTTTGTCCCAACAATAAGAATCACCTGCAGTTTGTTATATACATTCATGTATTACTTGTTAGAGACGAAACCGAAAAACTGTTTCTTTTTGGAATGTTGTGTTGCTTACGACGAAAGGAATGATTGGTTGCCAGAGGTAAGAACTCAATCCTGTTCACAAGAATAGCAGAACAAGTAGATTAATTTTGGATGGTTGTAATTGGGCTTTGAAGAGATATCGATGCGGTAACGTTTTGGAGATGAGTGTACCGTTTGTGTTGGATAAGAGGAATAGCACGGCGACAAACCAGATCACAGGGCTGCATATGTAAGCAATTGAAACATTAGACTAAGAGGTAATTAGTGAATAAATTGAATTTGTTAAAAACTATTTGTCGCCAAACCTGATTTCGACAATGGTCTTGAAGTCTTCCTCTAATGATCTCTGAATGTATTTCCGGAAATCAAACCTCGCATCACTCCCAGGAGCCAAATGGGCCTGAAGAAGAAGAAAAACATTTTTGCAATGCCGTAAGAACTTTGGCTTGAGACAGACAATAGAAGATCAAAAGATTGAGGTTTTTTACCATGATGAAACCATGTCTTAGTGTCAAGTAGTCAACTTTGGTTACAGATCCAAAGAACTGTCTGAAGAAACATACAATCCACAGCAAAATAGACGATTTACTCCAGAAATTCAGATGTCTACGCCCAAAAGATGTATCTCTTGCAAACCTAAACCTCTCTGGATCTACATTATTTGAAAAAACAAAATGCCTCGTTCAAGCTTTACACTTAGTTTCTTGCGTTACAAGTTAGTAAATTTTATATATATACCGTGTGAGTACTGATATTCGATTGTCTTTGTCTCCTCTTCCCACCTCTTCCACCTTTTCATCTGAGGAAAGATCGAATCTTTAGCGATAACAAGCACGATCTCAACAATGTGGATGGATATTAAAAGAATCTACCTTGGTGTTGCCCAAAGCATAAGTAACAATACAGTAGATCACATGACAAACCGCAAGAACGAAGATGAATATATGAAGCTGATGCATCCCATAAGCCGATACAAAAGCGACTTGTCCCTGGACACAAATATCATAAGACCCTTCTGTCAAAATCAAACAACTGTCTGCATTAATGGGATTTGATAGATTGAAATAATCAGTTTTTACCTTTTTTGCACATTTGTCATAACCTTTAGTAGCCAAACTCCTCCGAGGAATGAAAGAATCGACTAACTGGAGAAGCTTTCGACCAGAGTTTTCTTCGTCTCCTTTGTCATTTCTGGGATCTTCCTTAGGGCCGTAGATTCTCGCCGCTTCTTCTTTACTGCAAGGGTGCATTGATGCTGCGATGCTCTTGGAGATGCAAATATTTGATGTAAAGTTTTGGCCAATTGTTAGCAGTAGTGATAGGAATCCCATCAGCATAAGCTCTGCAATTTACATCTAATTAGTGTCTAATCTCATTATTTAAATGTAATTTTTGGAGGGAAGTTTGTTTTTTTTTGTTTGTTTTTGAATTAATAGTAATTTTACCTGCTTTCACCTTTTCAAGAGCTTCATAAAGAGCTTTTTTGTTCTTCCTTTTAAACCACTGTAAGAAGAAATAAAACAAAACAGAGCATGGTTTCTCACTTTTGTCTAGTCTCAGAAACAGAGCACATTATAAAACCAATCGAAACTAAAACCTTTTTGGATATTGGCAGTTTCAAACATAAATTAATTTTAATCTGTGAAATCAAGTTTGAATTTTGGGATGATGAAGAAGAAATATCCAGTCTCAGAAACAGAGCAAGAAGAAGAAACAGAGAATCAAGAAGAACTAACTAACTAAACAGACTTAGAAACAGAGCAAAAGGAAGAAACAGAGCATCAAGAAGAACTAAACGGACACACAAACAGAGCAAAAAAAAAGAAACAGAGAATCAAGATTCAAGAAGAAGGGAGAAGAAGTAAGAAAAAAAAAGACTTACGGTTCCAACTTTATGAATCAGTTTCTCAATGACAATCGAAATTAGAAGCAAGACGAAGCAAACCACGGCGACGGCCCACGTGGAAGTCTGTTGTAGGTCTTTTTCTTTCACCTTATTCTCCATTAGAGCTCACAGAACAATCTTAAGCAACCAAAATAAAAAAAGCTTTCGTTTGAAACGCAGTTTTTTATCAGCGTTTTATATTATTTTCTTAAGTTTATCCTCTTAGTTTTTTATTTTGTAATTTTGTTCGTTTGCAATCATCGATGTGTATTTATGTCTTAATATAAACAGAGAGACGAAGATGAAAGAAGATGACCGTCGAGTAGGTGTATCTTGAACAGTTCAAAGTTTTTGACTTTGAAGCCATATTACGACTTTCTCAAAACATCTCCCGTGTGTACCGTTATGTATTAATGTATTGTTGTGAGTTACTCATTAATTTTTTTTTTTTGTATAACTAACTTCTCCTCCTGCATGTGTTTTTTTTTTTCTTGTGTCAATTTATTGTTCATATCATAATATTTGATGTAACCGAAAGAAGATTACTAAAGAAGTTTTGTTTAATCCTTTTCGATTCGCTGATGTATCGAAAGTTCTCTCCAAGCAAAGTAGTTTATAGAGAAAATATAACTTTTTGGACTTTCAAAAGCAAAGAAACACTAATAACATCCGAATTAATGGATTGTAAATCAAAACGAACACCAAAGCCTATAATAAAAAAAAAAATTTTGAATAAAGATATGACATTGACTGTTTGGTTTACATTTAATATATGTAGTTTTCCAATGCTCCACAACTTTTAATACCGTAAACAATATGATTTCTCTTTTTGTTCAAAATGCAAAAACGTCAAACGCAAATGGATTTGTTTTCCGTTTGCATTTGATTTTACAAAGATATTTTTTGAAAAAGACAATTTTGCATAATAGTATTTTTTTATAAAAAAAATTGATTTAAGCATAGCATTACTAATTAAATTTCAAATAATATCATAATGACTCAAAATTTATTCTTTTCGTTTTTGACAGCACTCAAAATTTATTTTAAATTGGAAAAATTTGAACTCAGGTATAATTTTTTAATTTTGTTTGTAATTCATATAGGGTGATAAAATATTTTCAACACAATATTTTTTAATAGATTTGGGATTGAAAAATTGGCATGCTAGATTTGGAAAAAAAACTATATTTTATACTACTTAAGTGTATTTAGTTTTTTTTTACGAAAAAACTGAAGGTATTTATATCTCAAAATTGTTTTTACAAAAGAAAAATTATATTAACAAAACCTGAGAAATTAGAGTATGATATGATCAAAATTATAAGCACTATATCATTTTTAGAACGGATAGAAACACGAATCTTACATCAAATTTTGGATTCCAGACAGTTTTCTCATTCTAAATACAAAGTATAGTAAATTGTTAGTTTTATTTGTCGACGTTAGTCTAATTAAGTGATACAATTATTATATAAAAAAATTTTACAGTGTAGATTAGTAAATTAATAATAAATCTGTGTCAGTTTATGCAAACTTCTTTTATCCTTAAAGTTCAATTATTTGGTAGAAATATGTCTATATTTCGTAAATTTCTGTTGACGATACCATCTATGTGAAATGAAAAGAGAATAAAAAAAAAAACCGCACGCATGCTCTCCATGATATTTTCAAAAATATCTAAAGATTATATAAATGATCAAAAATATATTTTCAGATAAGTCTAAAGTAATAACTGATAACGGTCGTGCTACCTAACAATTGGGGTAATTTTAACGATCGAGGATATCAATGCCCAATAAAAGTCGAGGCTGATACTAATCATATAGAAAAACATATGTTGACTATTGGGGTGCGTCAATGATACTGATAATAAGTGATAACTACATGTGCAGCATATTGTTATTTGTGAAGGTTTAACTAAAATAGTTATAACTTATATCATTACCTCATTGGGCAATTAGACAATTTAAAGTCGTCACCTTACCACGATTACATGAAGTTATTGTTACTCTATGAAAGTACTTTTGTTATATTAGACATAAGGTAGTTTGTAAATCACTGTATCAAATTACTTTAGTCTGTACTTCTGCCTAAGATTTTTCTCCCAATTTAAAAACAAAAAAATGATGTAACAAGTTTGAAGAGTTAGGACTTTCTGGCTCGTACTGTAATGATATTGCATTTAATATCCACATGCATACGCGTATAAAAGTTATAATATGAAAAATATTGTAATATAACGCTAGATGTTTCGATGCAATGTGGACACTCATAATTTTATGCGTTGACGTCTATAACTGATATTGATCTAGTAAAAAGCTAATTAATTGTTACATCTTTACATTTTACCACCCCCCCCCCCCAAAAAAAAAAAAAACTAATTGTTACAAACCACATACATGTCTTATATGAATGATGTAATCTCGTGATGACAATTAATGACATATCAACAATTCAATTTGTGTAATATCCGGCCCTGAGATTTTACTGAGTTTACCTTACAAACTCTAACAGCTTTGATATCACTAGTCCCTGGGGTCTCAATGTCATTCTTGCAATGGTTCTCTTTGCCACTCAACTAATCGCAAAACCCAAAATAAAAAAACTATGGGTTTGCTTGGAAGAATTTCTCTCCATACAATTATTTTCCTTGGAGACTGATGACTTTCCTGTTGATGCATGCAAGTAATGTAATTGTAGATAAGCTTAATTGTTCTTCTTATTTTTGTAGGATGCTTATCAATTACCTATTCGAACTACAATTAAAGAGTGGAGTGGAAGAAACTGGAGATTAAAAGTGATTATATATTATTATTCTTTTAAGAGTGATTTAACTCAATAACCATATTGAGATATACCTAATTATACGAATATAGCCATAGCAAAAGTCAGTTAGGTGAATAACCAATTGATATTTTTGGATGAAAACCTTAAACAAAAGAAAATTGTACCAAACTATATTATTAATATATAATAGTTACCATACATTTTATTACTAGAAATTACATAAAATAACTTAGAAAACAAACATTTTTATTTAACTAACACACTTGGAATCAACTTTACTCAAACAACCCAATTTTTTTGTTAAAATCATATAAATCCTTTTGAACTTGTTTTACTAGGAAAATGTCATTATGTAATCTAATTAATTTAATTATATGTTTTTGTGTTTTAACTTTTAACTTTTAACCCTAATTTTTCAGAGAAAACATTAAAACCGAAACATTTCTTCCTCCCGACTCTCTGTATCCTCTTGTTCTCTGTCTTCTCTCGTTCTCTGGGGATTAGGGTTTTGTTGAGCGACGGCAACGACGAAGGCAAAGATCTGAGGCGGCTACCTACTGTTGATATCCGGCGGGTTGCAAGGCTTCATCGGCGGTTTAGGGTTACCGGCGTAGAGTGTTTCATTTACTCGGATCAGTAAGAGATGTTTTCCGGCGGCGAAGGTAAATACGAGAAATCAAACGTGTTTTTTCGGTTGTTTACATCATTTTCCAAGTGTCGGTAGTTTGATTTGGTGAAAACATATTTTGTTCGAAAAAGTTCTTGGGTTTCATTTAAAATTTCTATGAATATGTTGGTTTAGTATTTCTGATTTCAGATCATATATTTGAAACCCGATAAGGTCTAACAGATTTCCAGTAACTGAGACGCATTCTGAGGCAGAAATTTTTATTTTGAATTTGGAGGGTATAGGTTGAAGAATATTAAAAGGATTGCTGATTTATTATTTAAAGGATGACAGAATTGTAATTGATGTATGAAATGCTGGGATAGATAGATTCTTCCGATAGGTTATTTTGGTGACAAAATTGTGATAGAATTGTGACAGAATTTGTTTATGGTGACAGAATTGTTGTTGTCTTTATGACAGGATTATTATGTAATCGTGACAGAATTTTATTATGGTATCGTAGACTCATAGAGAAATTTTTTAATATTCTGCAGATATGGGGTCACATAGTGGGACGAAATATTATCCTCCTCGATTCTATCTTATGGGAAAATCGCCTCTGCAGAACAGAAGTTTGAATCACAACTGTTTCTTGAATTTTTTTGGGAGGGTGAAAGAAGGCATAGGTGTTGATGTTTTTAACAACATCAAGGATACTTCTTCGGTTGGAGTAATTTTGAAGTTGGCAGACATGGATTATATACCGTCTTCCAATCTTGTTCACAACTTCCTGACATGACAGTTGTCCATAGAAAATGTGCATGAGGTTTGGATATTGATTGGAGATCAGCCCATCAGGTTCTCTCTGCATGAGTTCGCGGTAATTACCGGATTGAATTGTGAGGAAATGGCGGATGAAGAAGAAATGGAAATAGAGGACTCTGATTTCTGGAAAGAGTTTAAAATCACTGGAGGTGGACCGAAATTTAAACATAAGGAGTTGGTGTTGTCTAGATGTAGGACATGGAGTTTTGAGAATAGGAAAGTGATTGGATTGTTATGCATTCTATCGATAGGAAATCCTTGGAATATCCCAAAATAGCAGAATTCCTATGAAGTATGCAAGAAGAGTGTTGGATTTGGAAGCATTTGAGAGGTATCCATTGGGGAGGGTTAGATTTCAAAGCATCGTGGATTCCATAAAATAGTAAGCTTTGATAGGAGTACCTATGTAGTCCATGGTTGTGTCCATGTGCTGATCATATGGGGATAAGAATCGCTGCCTTTAATTTCTTGGTAGAAAAATTTGGTTTTAGGAATGAAGCAGCAGTTGTTGTCCCTCTTCTCCGTTACAGATCAAGTCGCAAGCGATTTGATTTTGAAGCTTTGTTGTTGCGGGAAAAAGAACAACACACAAAGGTAATATTAATTTGATGATAGAAATTTTGATTTAGAATTCTGTTGTTAAATGAAAGTTGTGTAACATTTGGTACCTTCTTCTTTCAAGGTACGTGTGAGGCATATGTCGGAGAAGGCTGAAGAAGAATTATTTCATGTTTGGCCAGTAGGAAACATGGATACAAACTTAAAAATCTGGTTGGAGATATCAAGCATGGTTGCCTTGATGTATTTGTCTGGGATGCAGCAAGTGTCCGAGATTGTCCTCCTGAAAACTGTAAGGAGCGAAAGAGTTCGAAGGGAAAGAGTAAGAAGGCAAAGAGTGGTAGCGATGATGATTTGGTCAATAAGGTTTCTGAGAAAATTCTGCAGAAGAAGAGCAAAAGAAAGGATCAGGACGAAGGTGAAGATAGGAAGAAGAAGAGGAAAAGTTAAGGCAAACAGATTGTGAGGGATGAGGAAACTGAGAAAGATGACACTAATCTGGACGTCACCTTACGAGACAGAATGAAAAAAAAAGAAGTAGAGAAGGGAAAGTGACATTGAGAGAGCGTTTGAAAACGAGCTTTTGTCTAGAGGATTAGTGTCTTTGATAGAAGCTTTGAGTAGCAAGGTGCATTAGGAAGCAAAATCTCTGAACGGTTGGGTGACTTCGAAAGAAAATTTGACTCTTTGGACCAGAAGATTGGCAATGTTGAGAGTGATGTCACAAGAATGAAGCAAACCCGACCTGAAACTGTGGCAGAGGCAGAGTCTACTACCGTTGATCAAAGCGGCACAGAGGGATAATTTAAGTGCTCAAAATCCTCTGGATGGTTTTCCACACTTTCCATAGAATCATCATTGGCACTGTGGCAGATTGTATCCATTGCAATTGCAGATTTTGAGAATTTATAGAATGATTTGTTTTCAGTTAAGCATTTTTGGTTTTTTGAAATCCCATCCTAAGAATTATGACAAATTGCATTTTTTTTGTTTTGTTTTTGAGATGTTCATCAAGTGCCAAAAAAGTGATACAAAAACGTATTATTGAACTAAAATTCACTCTCAGGATAAGAAAGTGAAAATAGCTATAGAAAAACTGCTAAATAGGGAACAATTAACTGAATATATTTATACTTTATATGATCATAATATCATCGGGTTACAATCAATAGGACAAAACCAATTACAAATTAAAATTACATAACGAGGAAATGTAACCAAGCATGCTCCTCCAATCTGAAGCTTGTCAGATGGAAAAAATAATATAATCATAAGACTTCGGAAACTAAATTTGATGCAAAATATATATGTTCAAAGGTTGATTCACATTTTTGATGGAGTTGGTCCACGACAATGCTGGCTTTCCTCGCAACCTCTCTTGTAAGGATTTGCTGGTTGCTTTGTGCAGGAACCAGGTTTTGCTTTATCACAAGGCATACCATGATCTCCACGAATAAGATCACGATAATTTATGGCTCTTGCCTCAATCTTGGTTGCTGCAAGAGCCAAGAAAACAATAAAAACGAGAGATAGAATAACCTTGAGACTTTTAGACATCTTCATATTATTATTGATTGTTGTTTTATTTAGTCTTTCAAATAAATTAAATATATAAATAAGTTATAAAAAAACTCCAATCAGGAGTTCAGTTTTTCTAATTTATATATTTAATTGTATTTGGAATTGGTTCTGTGGGATTTTGATGAAGATGTTATTAGTGTTTAAATAGTGGAGAAGAGATGGATTTCAATGTTGGTTATCTTTGGATGATGATTAGTAACCACAGAGATTTTAGTAAACAGATGTTGTTTTAAGTAAAGACTAGATTCTAACCCCGTGCGGATGCACGAGAATTTCGTTAGACACGAGAATTTCAATTTTAATAAATTATAAATGTAATTGATACTTATTTTTGTGTTTAAATATAATTTATTTGAAGATTAATTTTCTTTTTTTAGTTGTCTCAAATTAGTTTACTATCTTACATGTTTTGACAAACTAACACGCATAAGATTATAAAATTATAAAAACATGATCCTAATCCGTTCTATCATTATATTGTATAATATAAATATTTATTCATTATGAATTTATAGAATTTTTGACTTATTGATTTGGATTAAAAACTACAATAAGCATATTTGTTTATCATATGTGATATTATAAAAATATTATTAAAATTAAGATATTTAGATATAGTCTAATTTTTAAATTAAATATAACCTATCTAATAAATTGAAAGTGATTTAACTTAATATCTACATTTTCATAATTAAATTTAACTCCCATTAAGGTAAATTTTCATATTATTAGATATAACCTTAATTAAATCTAAATATTAAATGAAATATAACCTATATTTAATGAAGCCTAAATTAATTTAAATTAATATCTAAATGTCGAAATTAAATATTTAATAACAATTTTTTTTTAAAATATGAATTTTAAGTTAAATCTAATCTATATTTAGGAAATCTAAAGTAATCTAATAATATCTTAATTTCGGAATTAGATTTATATATAACAGAAAATATATTTTTTAAAAATAATATTGCAACAAATTGGGATAATCTTAAAAGAGTTTCCAAATAATTTTTTAGAAAATTTTTTTAGAGTGTTTGGATACAGAAGCTAAAAATGCTTCTGTTTTAATATAATAGATTTGGATAATGTTTTTTTAAACTCAATCCAGACATTCTTTCTCTTGCAATAACTATAATAAGCTTTTTCTTTTTTTTTTTGTAGTCAAGATTGTAGCTTTAATTAAGTTAAAAAAAGGTTGTGAAAATTATTATTGTACAACGAATTAGTCATAGGTAGAAGTAGAAATACTATTGTTATATTAGCTGAAAAGTAATATTGACTAGATTTTTGGTTATGGAGTTTTAATTGTTTGTTTCCTCTTCTTCTTCTTATTTTTTGAATTAGTTTCTGGTGTAAATAAGTCCACTATATCATATGATGCTACAGTTTTTTTTTTTTTTTGTAATTGCTACAGAATTTGAGATCAGTTGATACCAAATAATAAAATAGTTACAATTTTGTCTTAGATAGTTTAGAAAAATGTTCAAGCACAGACTGATGTAAGCCTATGTATACATTGAAACATGACAAGAAATTGACGCCAACGGACTGCGCGCTTACAATGCCAATTGAATATTTGTACGAGTTAGAACAAGTATACATATTTTTCAGCTAGATATATATGCACATTTTTTAGATATTTTTGTTTATGATTAAGAACATGATTATACAGCAAAATTAATCATAAAACAATTTTCTGATAAAAAAAATCATTAAAAAAGTAAACGAGGACAAACATTGTGTTAGTTGATTTTATTAGATGAAAGATGAACTAAAGCATAAATACTAGGCAACAATTGATAGAAATGATGATCAACTAAAGTATGGAGTGCTTTAGTTCATGTAATAGTATGGATTCTTTTCTTTCTTGTAGAAACGTGAAATTTATTAATCAACAGAAATATAATATCTACACCTGGAGCACACATGCTGGAAAAAAAACACAGAGCAGGATTAGACAATCTAACACAACAAAATAACCACATGAGAGATCACAAACACTTTGCCAGCGAGTTAACATATCTATGTTGCTCTCATCCTGAAGAGGGTTTAGTACGGGACCTGATTTCCTTAGCTATGGTGTTTGAAAGGTGAAGAGGGGAAGGATAACTCTTCTTCTTCTTGAAATATCTGTTATGTTACAGACATCCCAAATTAAGAGAATGCTGTTTCAGTTTTTTCTTCAGTCTCTTAAAATAGCTTACTTTTTTGGTTAAAATTCACCTTATATATGCTTAATCTTGGCACTTAAGATTGTTTGCTTTATATCAAGATATGTAAGAGTTGTTTTAGTCATTTCATCTCAGTCTTCTATTTGTTACTATCTTTGGATCCAAAGAAGAATCGAAATAAGGACTGACTTGTGAGAGCACATATTGACTCTCAAGAAGTGTCTATAGAGTAAAGACAAAGGAAAGACATGGTGGATGAGGAAGCCGAAGAGGTTGAAATTAAACACCCAACCCGATGGGTTAGTATTTATCATTTATTTAAATCAAATTCAAAACTAAACTAAATAATTTATCCTAATTACCCCTACATTCACTTATGTTAGTGAAATTCTCTGAACTTGAATATTCTTGGTTATGATTCTTTTCCAGAATCCCATGCTAATAAGAATGACAAATTGCATTTTTTTAAAGTTTTTGAGATGGTAGAGTGCAAAAAAGATGATACCAAAACATATTATTAAATAAAGTTCACTCTCATGATAAGAAAGTGAAAATAGCTAGAAAAAGTGTTAAATACCGAACAATTAACGAAATTTTTTTATATTATATGATCATAACATCATCGGATTACAATCAATTACAAAAACAATTACAAGCTATAATTACATAACAAGGCAATGTAATTATTCATTAAAAATTAATATGAGGATGCCATTTGTAAAAATCAACCAAGCTTAGTAGTCCAGTCAGAAGCTTACCAAAAAATGATGTAAAAAAAATATAGTCGCAAGAGTTAGGAAACTAAATTTAATGCAACATATATATGCTGAAAGGTTGATTCACATTTTTTCTGGAGATGGTACACGGCAATGCTGGCTTCCCTCGCAACCCCTCCTGTAAGGATTCACTGGTTGCTTTGTGCAGGAACCAGGTTTTGCTTTATCACAAAGCCTATCATGATCTCCACGAATAAGATCACGATAATTTAGGGTCCTTGCCTCAGTTTTGATTGCTGCAAGAGCCAAGAAGACAACAAAAACAAAAGATAGAATAACCTTGAGACTTTTAGACATCCTCATATTATAACTGATTGTTGTTTTATGTAGTCTTCCAAATAAATTAAATAAATAAATAAGTAATAAAAAAAACTCCAATCAGGAGTTCAGTTTATCTTATTTATATATTTAATTTATTTGGAATTGATTCTGTGAGATTATGATGAAGAGGTTATTGGTGTTTATATAGTGGAGAAAAGATGGATTCCAATGTTGGTTATTTTGGGATGATGATTAATAACCACACAGATTTTAGTAAACCGATGTTCTTTCAGTAAAGAGTTGGATAGTGTTTTCTTAAAATCAATCCAGATATACATTCTCTTGCAATGACTATAATAAGTTTTTTTCCTTGAAAAGATTAAAGCTTTAATTAAGCAAAAGAGCTGTGAAATTAATATTACAACGAATTAGTCATAGGTAGAACTGGAAATGCTATGCTAAAAAAGTAATATTGATCAGTCTTTTTGTTGTTACTACCTTTGGAAGATGCCATCTGTTTTCTTTACTCGTTTCCTCAGCGGTCAAAAATTTCCTGCGAAGCTCTTTCTCTAAACAAGCTGTTTTCATGCCTATACTAGCTTTCTTTATTCGACTTCAAAGAAGAATCAAAATAAGAAAGACCCGCTTGTGAGATCACATTATTAACTCTCAAGAAGTGTCTGTAGACATGGACAAAAGGAAAGACAATGGTAGATGAGGAAGCCGAAGAGATTAAAACACCCCGACCTGAAAATAAAACAAACCAATAAAGTGCAATGTGGTTATATATCTATTTGCCTTTCCTTTCTATAAAACTCAGACTAGTCTCCCCAAGCTCTTAAAAATTCGGGATTTCTACAACTTAACAACATTTTATTGATAACTTCTCAAAAAAAAAAAAAAAAAAATTTAACAACATCGATCTATATCTTCACAAAAACTTAACATCTGATCTATGGTTATGATATATCATAGATGGTACTATTATCATATCAAAAAAGAAAGTGATAAATATGTAAAAATTAGTTCCAGAACCAGATTTCTTTCTTTATTACAATCAATATTGTAATAATACAATGAAACACACAAAAAAAAGAAGCGATGAATATTGTAGAATAATTTAAGAAGCCCATGGGAAACAGTTAGGTTGACCACCATCACGTCTATCCCTACATGGTGCTGGCTCGTAAATGCTCCAAATACATTCTCTGCAAACTCCAACTTTGCTCTTCGGATTATCGTCACGATCAGCTCTAAAAATATCAAACGTCGCTGTATTGCCAGGCCAAGCAAAATTGCAAGTGTATACCGTTGTTTTGCGGAGGTTAACACGAAATCTGAAATCAAAACTCTGTCCTGGTCCAAGTGAAATAAATCCCTTATCGTCACCTTTGTTTCTACAATGCACGGTCAATGTCGCACGCGTCACAAGTTTGTTGATGATAACAACATGTTTGGGTGATAAGAGCGCAGACGCAGATGACGTCGTTGCAAGGATGATTAGCATGAAAATAATAGTGTGGTTCCTTGAGAGAGCCATTTTTTTTTTTCTTTTCTTGTGATATTTGTCGGGGAGTAAGTATTTATAGATGAAATAACATTTAATGTATAATACGTTTTTGGGAGAAAGATTTGGAAATCTATATATTGGTTATATTATCGCGTATATATTTATTTCGTTTGACTAACAAATAAGTGTGTAGAATTGAATAGAAACGTATCAATAATTAATTACTTGCCTCATTGAGAAAAACTAAATTGAAAAAGCCATGATTTGTTTCCGTGATGGTTTTTTTTTTCTGACATGTGTTAGGAAAGTAGTAAAACTATTAATTACCACTTGCCTACTAGAAAAAATAATAATAAGAGATAAATATCATATTTATATTATTTAAGAGGTTGAAAACTAAGGGAGGGTTTTCATATCTTTAGCTCGGTTAAATCCACTAACCGGTACACAACACTACTTCAGGTTAGGTTTATATTTACCGGTTAATTCCACTAACCGGTACGTTGGGGTATGGTACAACAACATACCTGAATAAACCGTTGTTTGGGTAGCAAACAAGAACACTCCAAATTCCTCCGGTCCAGCAACGTCTCAGTACCATTAGCTACTTCTTCATGGGTTCTGCTTTTGGATTCAGGGAACCTTGTGCCCGAGAGCTTACTTCTTGGAAAAGCAATACAGGTCCTGCACTAGCTAGGAAACTATTCACATCTTGTTCTTCACCCTTTTCCAGAAAGTTTCATCAAGGAAAAAAAAACGGTATGTGGCGAACCGGTCCCTGGGACGGTCAGGCTTTTAGGGATGCGCTTGATATGAGTGATAATTCTGTAACTGAGGTCAAGCCCAACAATTTTCAAGTGTTAACTGCTGTAACAGAAGCTTTTCTCTCTGTTTTACAGACTTTGAAACTATGATACGACAGGGTGAATGTAATGTGCGAAGAGAAATTGAATTGTACTAAAGAAAATCCGATAGACTCTTAAGCCAAAAAAACACCCGGAAGATAATGTATTTAACTGTCAAGAGAACTCCGACCAACATCAAAAGGGCCAACTAAGAAAGAAACTTCGAAAAAACAAAAAGTGCTTAGAAAACAAAACAAAACAAAGTTCCAATGGCATTTGAATAATAAAGCAAATCTAAGCTTTGATGACTCTAACCATAGAACTTGGCCTTCTCTTCAGCAGTCTGGAAATGACCGTGTCCAAATTTGGAAGAAACGTCAATGAACTTGAGCCTGATCTCTTCCATAGCAACTCTAGACGTCTGCTTCACCAATGACTGTCTCAAAGTCACCACACGTTTCTTTGGCCCCACGCAACAGCCCTTGATCATCAGATAATCTTCCTTCACTATCCCATAGTGGGGGAATCCTCCCATCGGTGTGATCTCCTTCTCGGTTCTGAAAACAGAAACAGAACATAAAACAAAGTCAATTTCACTACACAAACGAGCAGAAACATCTCAAGATTGGTTGTTTTAATACCTGTCAAACTCGGTCATGGCTGAGTGAGTCTCCTGGCCAACTTTCCCAAGCCGGTAAATTTTCTTGTTCATCTCAGTACGGTGGTGGTACCCGTTTTGTCCAGCTCTAGCCACTGTGTACGAGACTCTAGCTGGATGCCAAGCTCCGATACAAGCCACCTTGCGGAGTCCACGGTGAGTTTTTCTTGGAAGTCTGGTCACACCCCATCTTGTAACAACACCTTCATAACCTTTTCCTTTGGTGACACCGATGATATCAATCATTTCATCTTTCTGGAAGATGGCATCAACAGGGACTTGCTTCTCGAACAGACTGTAGGCATAGTCAACCTTCTTTGCTATATCTCCACCATTGACCTGAATCTCGTTCAGATGTGCCTTCTTCTGCTTTAGCCCCTTCATTTTCTTTATCTATAATGCATGTCCAAAAGTTATTAAAAACGAATTAAGTAAATGAAACTAATTATTGTCCATATTGAGAAAGATGAAAACCTGAGTGTGAGCAAGAACTCTGATAACAGTGCAGTACTTCTTCATCTTCTCCAGTTGGCTTTGAATGTCCTTCTTTCCTTCTTCGGTTTCAAGCTTCTTTGAGTATTTGATGAAAGCCTTCTTCTTTGACTTGCTCCAGTTCTTGTAGAACCTTCTCCTTACTTCTTCGCTCAAATGCTGAGCCCATACAGTGCATAGACTGCGGAGACCACGGGGTGTCTTCACATACCCAACCACACCAACAACCACCATTGGAGGTGTCTCAATCACAGTCACAGCTTCGCATGTTTCCTTCTTGTGGAGCTCTGTCAATTAAATTTACAGATATCAGCACAAACAAAAAAAACACATGAAACAATTCTGTGAATCTATAAGAATCAAAGAGTGAGAACATACTTGATCCAGGTTTTTCAACCTCTCTCACAATGTGAGTCATTCCAGCTTTGTATCCCAAGAAGGAGGTGAGCCTGCACGGCTTAGAGGGGTCATCCTTAGGGAAGGCCTTCACTGTTAACACAAACAAATTTGGTGTGTCAGATAAAAACAGCACAAGCCATTTGAAACAGTATACACATTATGGCACATTGATAATCATTTTTATTTAAGAATGAAAACAAATCGAATGCTCTCACAATGAGGAGCGAGAACACATTATATTAGATCAATATATCTCTTTGGTGTATGAATTAAAGATAGGCAAAGCTTATATTATATAACTACCTTTTCCACGGTGTCTGTTAGCTCTTTTCCTTGGAAGGAAACCCAAAGAACCGTGTCTTGGATGCTCAAACTTTCTGTGAGACATACTGTCAACTACAGAGCAAATGCAGTCAAATAAGATGAGAAATTACACAAAAATAACAACTGAAAACAATCCTAAATGATATACTAACAAACCAATCACCGGAATGATATATTTGTTTGCAAGAATACGCAAAAAAGTCCAATATTCATACATCGCAACCTTAACACGATATCCATGGAATTTGTATCAATAGAAAAAACCATAAAACAATTTAAGAGAAGCGTTCATGAACATACTAAGATAGAGACAAAACAAAACAAAGCACATAAGGATACTCCCAGTAATTCTGGTAATATGATACAAAATGTTCCCTCGATCAAAGGCCTATGGCATCATTAAGATAGCCAAATCTCAAGCTCATTTTGTGTTTCTCACCAGATACCATTAAAAATGGTATCCAGCAAAAGAGCGGATCAGAGACTCCAGCCTTGATTTTATAAATTTTCCGAGGGTTTTCATTTCGATCATAACCAGAAGAAGCTGAGGATATACAGATGTGCCAAGATTTTCAAAACCAAAAGACAATTTTTTTCGTACAAAATTGCATCACAATTGGAAATCAAGCAAGTACAGATTGTGAAACTAAGATCAAGACAATTCAGAGAACCGAACACGAGTTTATGAATACAAATAAATGAAAACTGAGTGAACAAAGCAAATCGATGATGAAGTGAGAGACAAACCAAATTCTCAGAACAAGGCAGATTCATTAAACAATAGCAACCGAAAATTCAAGATAAGCTTGTGTACCTTACAGATTTAGACGGCGGTGAGAGGAGAGAAAATTTTGGGCAGTGGCTAGGGATTTTCTGGAAGAAGGTATTTATACTCTCTTGTCTGTCTAGGGTTTACAGTTTCTGATATTAGGGTTAAGCCCAAATTTTCTGACAATGGGCTAGCCCGTGGTTAGGTTGTAAAATAGCCCGGCCCAATTTAAAATGGAATTGTTTTAGGCGTTAGCCCAACCTTGCAATTGTTTCTAATAGGGATGGACATAATATTCGAAAATTATGAAATCTGTATTTTCATCCATATTAAAAATGTGTAATTCTTTTTTTTTTTATAAGTATGTGAATTTCATTAATAATGATATTGTTTGTAAACTTAAAAAAAGAGCAGAGCTAAAAGCCGTTCTTTGCCAAAAAAAATATAAAAAACAAGGAAAAGTCGAACTAATAAATAACCAAATCCTAGAAATTTAGTAACTAGTCATATCTGAGCCATGTTTCCATTAGATTAGAGAAAGCCTTTGTCTTCCTCTTTGCCAGAATAGCATCACAAATCAGCCGGTCAATGGATTTGAAGATGACTGAAGGGGAGGAGGCAGAGTTGCTATGAAACCGTTTGTTCCTTTCATACCAGATGTTGTAGATAGTGGCGTGAGAGACCAGTTTCTTAAGAATCCTAGGGCATGAGGAGTCCTGAATCTCCAACCAAGTGAAAAAAGCAGTCCAAGTGTGAAAGAGAACAGAGCGATAACCCAGCCGTTTGATAACCATTTCCCATACTTGTTCGCTTATATCATATCTCAGAAACAAATGATCACGGTTTTCTTCGAAGGAGAGGCAAAGGCAGCAGTGGGGATCGATGTTCATACCCCATGAAACAAGCCTTGCTCTTGTTGGTAGACGGCCGAGGTGGGCAAGCCACATATTGAAAGCATGCCTCGGTATATGGCCTTTGAACCAGACATTAACAGTCCAAGGTTGTAAGGCATTCCGCGGACGAATTGCCTCCCAAGTGAGTTTAGCTGAATACTCGCAGAGAGCTTTGTCACCCACCTGCCAAAAAAAAGAGTCGACTTGATTGGAGAGAGAGGGTAGAGGAATCGAGCAAAGGTGGATATGAAGCTCCTCAGCCTCTGCTGACCTCGCCAGTCTAAGTCTCCACCTTGAAGATGAACAACAAGACGCGGCAGATGAGGAGAGAGGAATCCCGAGCTGGCGCGGGCCACTGGGTCCAAAGAGATGGATCAGAGGTCCTAAACTAGACCAGTTGTCCAGCCAGAAGTTTGTGTGTTCGCCATTACCGAGTCTACATCGGAAAAACTGAGATGCAAGAGGTCTGAGACTCAAGATAACTTTCCAAATCCAAGAAGACTGATTTTTCTCATCCAAGTTCCAAGAATTTCCACCTTGAAGTCTGTGTGCGCGAGTCCAAGAAGCCCATAATGAGTCATTCTTAGCCAGAAGCAGCAAGACTAATCTCAGACAAAGTGTTTTGTTCCAGACCGCAAAGTTTCTAAGAT